GCACTTTTTCTCTTATTTAAGTACTATCTATATGATGTTTTTAGTATACATTATGTAAAAGTGTAAGGTTATTAAAATATATATCAAAAACAATTTTAAATTTCGTTTAATACAAATATTTAAATATTTGAACGGCCCGAATTGTAACTTAAAAACCATTTCTGATTTATTATCACAATCAATACTTATATTTTCTTAATCAACCCTGTAATTTTTATTTTTGATGAATTAATCAACTCTGTAATCATAATATTAATACCCCAATTAATTCGTGCGGGGACACTGCAGTCTCATCGTCGCTGATGTGGCCCACCCTTTTCGCACCAGATCGCACCTCCCCCATACCCAATAAAGAGTTCCATGGAATTAGGCACAACCCCTGCCCCACCCCCCCTCTCTCTGAGGATCATTCGATACCATTCCAATTTTTTTTTTTGGGTTTGTTTCTAAATGAGGTGAATTCATGTCATTTTCAAAATGAATTTACTTAAGAGTGTGTTTGGTTAAGCACCTGAACTTTGGGTCTAGTGACAACTGCCACAATGAAAGGTGCATCCCCTCCCCTAGGTGGGTCCGACCCGTCCCATTATCAATCGTTCAAAAAATAAAAGAGTGTGTTTGGTTAATAATTAAAAAAAAATGTAGAATTTAAATGCGATTTTCATATTGTTTTTTGTTTTTTCTTTTAAATAATTTTACAGGAAGTCGAATTAAAACCGTTGCCTAAAAGAAGGGGATTCACTTAAACGTGACTTGACGTTATTGGACTTGAAGGCCAAGTGTCATATTATTTTTTGTTTAATTAAAAGCACAAGGTGAATATTAATTTAAAGACAAATGCCCATTTTTTATATTTTGTGGTATTTAGAAAAGAGTTCATCCGTTTGCCATAGATGGCATTAAATTTAATAGAGCTTAGCTAATTGGATCAAGCGTCTCCCTTAGACTAAAATACTAGATTGCAAAATTACTATCTCATATAATAATTCATGGTATTAATTGTCAAAAACTAAATAAATAAAATCATTTAGGAGCCACAATGTTATTAAACGTGCCTTTAATTTATTATTTCTTATAAAAATATAATTTTAGAATATAAATTCACAAATAAAACTATAAATAAATCAAATCAAGCTAAATATTGAAATATTTAAACTTGAATTAAACTTAATATATACTGGTTGAGCTTGAGTTTCATCAAACTTGCTAAGAAAATGATTTACTTACCTTGCAAGCAACATATATGCATAATATATAAAAAAGTTATTTTTTAGTTTAAATTGTATCAAATTAATTATTAGATAAATATAATTTTTAATAATAAATATAGTAACACCTGACCCTCACGGCCTAACGATCATAGACCAATTTATAAGGTGCATCCCCAACTCAAGAGTTGGGATTCGATTCCCCCAAAATTGTAACCTTGTTAAAAAAAAAAAGAAAATAAATATAATATACTTATTTAATAATTTATATTTTATAATTTAGTACAAAATACTCAACATATAATATAATTTCATTTATTTTTAGCGTTATATATTTACAGACTTGAATTAAAGTTCGGTAAGTTTATTGAGCTTAATATTGAGAGTGAAATTGAACTAGCTTTTAGCTTCCTTAGCAGTTACCCACACCAAACATTCCCTCCACCTAGAACGGTGGCCCCGCACGGGCCAGCTTAATTTAAACCCCTCGCTGTCTAGTTTCAGAGATTACTTCTATTCTATTCTCTGTCACTTCTCAAAAAAATATGAATAAAACAGGAGTGTTTATTTTTTAGACTTTTTTTTTTTTTTTTTTTTTTAAACAATTAAGTATAACTATTTGAAAGTAATAGTTACAAGTTTTTTTTTAATAATTAATAATATTAATTATTAATTTAAATACTATTAATTAAAATTATTAATTATTAATTTTAAAATTTATTATATCTATCAAGAATAAAATTTTTAAACTTTTCATTTACTAATTACTAAAAACTGTTTTACAAAATAAATTATTTATAATTTATTTTGTAAAATTATTTAAATATTTTTAATAAAATAATATAAAAATAAATTTAATGACATTTAAGTAATTTTATAAAATAAATTACATATAATTCGACCTGTAAAATAATTTTACGAAATAATTAATATTTTTTAATTTACATTTACACTGCAAAATATCATACTCTAATAAGAAAAAAAAAAACTAAAAATCCAATTTCCGCTTATAGTGTAGAAAGAGAGAGAGAAAAAACTTCTTGTTATCCTAACCCTCGCAAAATGTATTATATCCTATAAAATTTTTGGCTTCTCAAATCTTTATTTTCCGTATAAACTCACGTAAACCAGAAGCAAGAGATTGTAGATTCTCTTCCCCGGCTTTCCCCTTTTCAATGGTGATGGAGGATAACGAGAGTTGCGGTAGCAGAGCGCAGGAGCCGGCGTCCCCGTTGCAGAGCCGCCAGCATCGCCAGAAACTCGAGGTTTACAATGAGGTGTTGAGTCGCCTCAAAAAATCCAACAATGAAGAGGCCAATTGCTTTGGCTTCGACGACGAGCTTTGGAATCACTTCAATCGTCTTCCTGCTAGGTACCTTTACCTTTCCGTACACGTTCGCTCCTTATCCTCACGCGCATGGATGTGTTGAATGCGTAAAATATGATTTTCTATCTGCTTCTTCATTTTTTTTTATGCGCGTATCTCTCTCGTTGTGCGTGATTATGTAGTTTAATCTCTTTTTTTTTTTTTTTGACTTTTTTAAGGCTTTGTTTGATCGAGATGTTGAATCGGCGTTATACAGATTAGTTTTGGAATTTTTGTTAGAATTTTTGGATTTAATAATGTATTTAGTTTGCATGAGATTTTCCTTTGATATTGATCACTGGATTAAATTCTAGTATTACTTTCTCCTGCTAACAGATTCAGTGATTCTTCTTCATTTTTTTCGGATTTTCTTTTGATTTTCTGTTTCAGAATTTTTTTTAGCACCTCCTTGCTTAATGTTATACGATCTTGATTTGCAGATATGCGTTGGATGTGAATGTGGAGAGGGCAGAAGATGTTCTTATGCACAAGAAATTACTACATTTGGCTCATGATCCTGCCAATAGACCTGCAATTGAAGTCCGTCTCGTGCAGGTAATTAAGTTTATTTTGTTGCTTAATTATTGACATGCGTTATCCAGACTCTTGATTAATTACGTTTCATCTTCTGTCATTTAAATGTTGTTGTTGTTTTTTTTTTATTGGTGAAATATAAATGCTGTTGTTGAATTGTTATTTCCATCAGTCAGGTGATGCTTTCCTTGCCTGATCAGTCTTGAAACTTGTAGTGGTTAGGTCCCACGTGTCAGTACCTGTGACATGACCACTGGAAGCTTATATTTTCCAAGTACTCTTAGAAGTTGGTTGTATCCAGGAAACCTAGAAGTTGGAGTATGGTTCTATTATTTCTGTTTTCGATTTCTATTTGTGTGGCAAATTCAATATGATTTTTACTTTCTCGTGTAGGTTCAGTCAATTTCTGATGGGAACTTAGCTGTTTCTAATCTTTCAGACTCCGTGAGTGAAGAAGTTGCCCAAAGTCCTCTAACACAGTCTAACAGACAAGGGTGTGTTTTTATAACATTTTTCTAGTCACGGTAGATATAACAGCTTAAAGAAAACAAGATTTCATGCAGCAAAATCTATACTGACCTTTCCCGCTGGCTTTTCAATTGTCAGCATACACCCACCACCTGCCTTTGGCTCATCACCTAACCTTGAAGCCCTTGCACTAGAAGCAAATAAATCAGATGAAAAAGATGGAGATTGTTCTGTACATGCCAATACAATGTTCTCTCGGTACATCTTCTGATAGTCTGTCATGTTTAGTGAAGCAATATATTTCTGTTTGTTTGTTTGTCTATGTTTTACATTCTTTTGTAATTGCCACTGGTGTAGGCCCATGCATGAGATTACGGTTTCAACAGATGACAAACCTAAACTTCTTAGTCAGGTAATATTTTAGGCTTGCTTATCAAACTTAGAAGAATAATTTATATAATCACCATAGTACTAAGTCCATTTGTATATTTCTTTCTTTTCTTTTGGTGTGATCTTGAGCTTGCTCCTGGAATTTATGATTCTTTTTGACAGTTATTACTTCTCTCATTTGTATCATGTTGCTTCACGCTCTGCCAGCTAACTCTCATCCAATGTTTGCAGTTGACTGCATTACTTGCTGACATTGGTCTAAACATCCAGGAAGCACATGCTTTTTCCACATTTGATGGTTACTCCTTAGATGTTTTTGTTGTTGATGGTTGGCCATATGAGGTATTTTTCTTTTTCATCTTTTAATTATATAGCTACAGTAAAATAGTGATCCTTTGGTAATATTAAAAATAAGACCCATTGCCTTTGGTTATTTAATACAAGTTGTTCATTACTTCTCTCATGGTTAAATTTTTGTACGACATTTATTCCTGGTTGATGGACTTTTGGTTTGAAATTTTCAGGTAACAGAGCAGCTTAGAATTGCATTAGAAAAGGAAGTTTTAAAAATTGAGGTAACTCCTTGCTTCTAATTCCAGTCTTAAGTCTGAAACTCTTGAATGCCATCCACGTATTATCTCTTAATAATTTCTGTCCAGCCAAGGGACTTATTTTCCACCAAGTTCAAAGTGTCAAATTTGCTGGCATGAGTTCTACTAGGATAATTTTTTATCAACATTCCACCATGATAATTGTTTCAGCTATGAAGAAGTTAATTGTTATATTGGTATAGCATTAGTGATCTCATTTGGTGAAATAAAGCATATATCAATTTTTGTTTATTTAGGTTGCATATTAATAGCTCAAATCCTAATTGATTATTAGCTCTAAATTCTAAACATTTCTGGAGAAGTTAGAATTTATATTACAGATTATTCAATTCATTTTGAATGGATTATGTTGTGCAGAAGCAATCTTGGCCAAAGCAATATTCATTATCTCCTAATAGTGACCATGAGGATATTGGGGTCCAATTTGACCCTAATCATGTGGCAATACCTAATGATGGGACAGATGTCTGGGAAATTGATATGAAACACCTGAAGTTTGAGAAAAAAGTTGCATCTGGATCATATGGAGATCTGTATGTTAACCTTCTTTTTGTGTCTATTCTTCTCAATTTTCTATATGCTACACTAACTTTCATCGGTAACTGGTTCAGCTATAAAGGAGTTTACTGTAGTCAGGATGTGGCTATTAAGGTCCTCAAGCCTGAGCGCATAAATTCTGAAATGGAGAAAGAGTTTGCCCAGGAAGTCTTTATCATGAGGTTTGTATAAGAAATGTAATTAAACTAATAAAACAATTAACATACAGTGCTTGAAAAATTATTTTGTCTTAATATGAAGAAATCTAATGCATGTTGCCCATATCCATCTTTTTAAATTCATGTGTCAACTCAAAACTATAATATAAATCAGACAAAAACAATATTTACTCTTTTCTTGTGTTGTGAAATTTGTTGCCAGTTCCATAACCATTATAATTTTCTTCCAAACTTTGCAGGAAAGTTCGACATAAGAATGTGGTGCAATTTATTGGTGCATGTACCAAGCCTCCAACTTTGTGCATTGTAACAGGTTAATTACAATAATCGTCACTAACTTAATAAAATGTGATTCCAGTTGATCATTTTTTTTTTTTTCCTCTCATTGTTTTCTTTTCTACTTCCCCTCTTTAACCCTTGCAGAATACATGTATGGTGGAAGTGTATATGACTACCTACACAAACAGAGGGGTGTGTTTAAGCTCCCAACCCTACTTAAAGTTGCAATAGATATTTCCAAAGGAATGAACTACTTGCACCAAAGTAATATAATCCATAGGGATTTGAAGGCTGCAAATCTTCTGATGGATGAAAATGAAGTATGATGCCTTCTTTATTACATACTTTTGACTGTCTGAACCTCGCGCTTATTTCTTTATTTGTTAAATAAACACCATTTCTCTTTTGCATTGAGCACAAAATTCTTAAAATGAAGAAGTCATCTTTTATTGTATGCTGATTTCTGATCAAACTCCTATTTCATACTTGCATCTGAAGTTGTGTAAATGGTTTTTTATAGTTTTACAATTTGATTATTGTGCAAGTTTTCTTTTCATTTGTTTTCCATAATTTGATGAAACTATAGAAATTTCTATTGATATAATGTAAAAAATACGGATACTACTGCCCTTTTTTTTTCTGTGATTTAAATGTCTAATAAATTATTTCTCCATGACTCCATGTAAGATTATGCTTTATGATATAATGAATTATTTTTCTTTTATTTATCTTGTTCCATTTCTCTCTCAAAAAGTTCCGTCACATTGCTTGCACTACAGATTGTTAAGGTTGCTGATTTTGGGGTTGCTAGAGTGAAAGCTCAATCTGGAGTAATGACAGCTGAAACTGGGACATATAGGTGGATGGCTCCTGAGGTGCGCTCTTGATTTATATGGCTGTTAGAACTGTTCCCTGCATACCAATATCTTTAATGAAGGGATGGTTAGATCTTAAATTCTCTAGTGAATGTCATTTGCATTCTAGTTAAGTAACTTAACTAGATTTTCCTGGCCTGGTGTTACAAGTTGCCACTTGCCAGCATACTTAAATATTCTTTTTTGTTGCTCAACTTCTTTTTAACCATAAATTCAGATCATTTTCCTCCAAAGAAGCAGCACAAATCAACATTCTAGATTTGTTTTATTGTCCTCAAATATATCTCATCACTAGAAGGGGTATTATGGTTTAATCACTTTATTGTGTAATTTATTTTCTTGACCTTGAGTTTGGTCAATTAGCACACCAGTTTGAATAATGATCATTGGTATTCATCCCCTAAATTGTCATTCATCTGGTTATTTTCTTACAACAGTTCTTTTGCACTGAAGGTAATAGAACACAAGCCATATGATCACAAGGCAGATGTTTTCAGTTTTGGAATTGTGTTATGGGAGCTGCTAACTGGAAAGGTATTGTTTCCCCTGATCTTTCCTTCATTACTATTTCTCAATGAAAATGCAAGAATACATGCATTGGGGTGTTAAGTTCTTTAGTGACTTCCATTGATCATATTTTCATATTTTGGCCTTGCCAGCTTCCATATGAGTACTTAACCCCATTACAAGCAGCCGTTGGAGTGGTTCAGAAGGTATGACATCCATTCAAGTAGATATAAGTGTGATGCTCGATAACAAAATTTTCTCCTAAGAAACGAATTAGGTAATATGTGAAGCTCTTCAGACTTTTAATCTGTCAAATAATGTATATTCTCTTCAGGTTTTTAATCTGTCAAATAAGTCATGGCTTTTGATTGTTTAGCTGTGGCCCCTCTTCAAACTCCTCTAGCACATGAATGAAAACCCAATGGGAAAAACTAGAAACATTTTAAAACATCCAATTTGACGTATAAGTCATTGCTCTTTTCATTAAACTGATTCAGGGTCTACGGCCCACTATCCCCAAGAACATTAATCCCAAGCTTGCCGAATTACTTGAGAGATGCTGGCAACAAGACCCAACACCAAGACCTGATTTTTCTGAAATCATAGAGATCTTGCAGCAAATTGCTAAGGAGGTATGCTTTTATCATCACTACATAAGTATAATTTATTAATGTACAAAGTATTCCTGCTACTTTAGTTGTCTCTGTATTTTATTGATAATGCAGCTACTTGTGTTCTCTTACTTTTCGAAACACTCTCTTCAGTCATCCTTTGCTCTTGATAATATATAAAGTTGAATTGATGCTTGATGGTTGTTCGTCCAACAGGTGGGAGATGAAGGTGAGGATCGGCGTAAAGAGAAAACATCTGGATTTTTCTCTGTCCTTAGAAGAGGCCACCATTAAAGTAGTGGGATATAGAAGTAATCTTGATTCATAACCTGAAGATAGTCACCATTTTCACCTCCAATGTACAGTATAAAATGACTAGGATTAACTTTCTCTATTTTGTTCTCGTTTCATAATTTGGTGTCAGTCTCCATTTTTTAACCATTTCCTTTTGCATTGTTATATCAATGTAGCAAGGGAGAGTGGTCTAAAAATGAGCTTAAACTTCACGTTATTGGCGCGGCTATACTATTAATCAATCAGATTTTTCCTTTATAAACTATATTTAATTTCATGATAGTGAATATTTGTGAGCTGTGTATCGAGCACAGTATCATTGTTATGATGCAGATGCAGATGCAGATGCAGTTAACATTATGCGGATCCCATGTTCCAAAAGGACTGATCTGCATGTTTCGCCGATTATGAACCAATAGTTTGTTGTTGTTGACACTAGAATACAATAATGTCTGGACAAAAAAATTCATCTTTTATCAAAAAACATTGCAAGAATGTAATTTATTTATTTAATTTACTCATATGCTGTACTAAAAGTAAAAGAAATTATCATTACATTATTTAAGTTTAATTTTGTTTTCGCTTACTCCCCCAACATTTGAAAAAAAAAAAAAAAAAACCACCTTGTTATCCAGCACGTTGCATGCCGCAGTTCATTCACATTACCATAAAAACCCCTTTACCCTTTCAAAGGTGAAATATTTTTCTTCCGAATCAATGGCAACATTGAAATAACAGCAAAGAGAAATGGCAATCTCGAAATTAAAACCGAAAGTCAACGGTAGATTCTCCTCCCAAACGACTAACATTCCCCCGTTCACAAGTATTCTGAACCCTTCGACTTATGGGCTGCACCATGCCTCTGCCAAGAATGTGAAATTTTTCCCGGATACCCATTTTTCAATTTCTCTGATTCCAAACACCAAAAATAGCATTTCACCCAAAAGACCACCAACAAAAATAACAATATTTCTGAAAATATTTTGGGTATAGTATATCCCCGTGCGTGTCAAAAATGAATCCTTTTTCTATCTAAAGAATTTGTTCAAATCTCTACGTTCTAAGGTGACATATGGTGTATTCCTAAAATAAGGAAATATAGTCAAAGCGAAATTAAATTGAGCTACAAATGTTCAACCCATATATCCCATGGCTCATACAAGCACACAAGGGTCACCAGAGGCAACCTTCAAGCCAGCCATGAAGAGCTCCCATCATGACTGCCATCCGCCCAATATGGTCGGTACCAATCCCGGCAACCCCAAAAGCCCTAAGATGTGATCGTGGGTTTTCTAACATCAGCGAAGAACCCAATCCTAACCAACCCACCTCCGCCACTTCCACCCAAATAATTTGGAGAAAATATAGGGACTGAGAACACTCAGAAATAGCAGCGATATATCCGAGTTTTGAATTTCATCCTAATCACAATCACAATCACAATCTCGCCTTTCAGAAGTTCAGCAGCAACATAATGAGGTTTTAAGATGCACATCGAAATTTGCTCGGTCAAACTAAGACCATGTCCAGGCTAATAGACCCACAACCGGAGGAGGTAGAATTGATCAAATCCGGCCTGATTGCACAATCCGGGTTGTTGGGGAATAAGGTTGCAGATGAGGATGAAGACGACCCATTAGCAGATGAAGACTTACCTGAGAAATACAGAAAGGCAAATTTCAATACCATGACGTTGCTTCAATGAATGAGTTTTGGTTCTGCTTCGGTCCGTTCTCTTCTGATTCCTTCTTTAAAACAAAAAGTTGTATGGATCCGAAACTCAAGTTATGGAAATGGTTGGTGATGATGATTCTGGTTCTGATTTGCGCTAGATTGGTTGCCGGATGTGGAAATAGGATGACTGTGTTCTTTATAGAGACGAATTTACTGTTACGCAAAAGGGTTCAATATTTCGTTTATGGGGTTCGAAAAGCTGCACAGAATTCTCTGGTTAGGTTTGGTTTTGCATTGTATGGAATCTACTCTTTGACAGTAAAGTGGAGAGAGATACCAAAAGTGAGTTCCTCACACACATCACCAAGATTTTGATCTATTTTCTGGACGGAACTCTGCTTTGTTTGGTTAAGACACTGATATAGTTAAAGTTCTTGCTTCATCATTTCATGTCAGAACATACTTCGACAGAATTTAGGATACTCTGTTCAATCAGTCTGTCATTGAGGCTTTGTCGGTGCCTTTGGTGATTGAGATTCAGCAGTCAGAAGAAGAGGAGACCAGGAAAATTAGAGATTCAGATGTTGTAGAATGCAGATGTTACTGCCTCCCAGTGTAGGACTAAGTAGGGGTTTCAGAGAAGTGTTACCTTTATTATGAAGAGTGGAGGTTCGAAGAAAGAGGGATTGAAGAACGAAGAGAACGGGATTTCAAGAACATGGAATATGAAGACGTCGTCCGCCATGGCTCCCTTGTGACCTTGGACGAACAGCATCTGCAGGATGGATATCTCGGCGAGGATGATTCACAAAACAGATCGCTAGTGAACGTGAAGCTAAGGCTGCTGCTAGGAAAATTTTTAAGAATATTTAGACATTACCTCTACTAGACATCCGTCTACTTGGGCACCTGAAACTCCAGGTGATCATCATCAGGGAGGAGCACAAATTTCACTGAAATCGACCCACGAGTTCCAGTACTCGCAATATCTCCGTGCATTAATATGTCTAGATTTATTGTTTAGGCGCTTATTCTCACTGCACTAAATATATTGTCGAACATAGCCAAAAACATCAACAGAATCTGTAATCACAGCTATTTTTATTGCATAATCGTAAACTGGCTGACAGGCACCATAGATATACTGCAAAATTATGGTCAATGAAAACATTCATTCTAGCAGCAAAAATCAGGTTTGAAACAGTGTTAACATATGTATTCTCTCACAAAAGTGAAGGTTCCATTAAGCTGTTCAAGCCTCACGGTCTGGTAGTCATTGACACTGTTAATGAGCAAATCAATGGATCAGATGGGAGGCTTCACTGCTTCTTTTCTTCTGCTTTCCTAGGCTGAAAAAGAATAAAAAGGAGAAATAATATAAGGCCATGGAGATCCAAAGGAAACATAAATTGTGACAGGCTTATAGGATAAAGCAGTAGCATACATTTTCATAAAGTTTTCGAGCAAAGTTTGCTTGTAAATTATTGCAAACAGAAGCATTCGAAGGAGCACAAGATAACGCGAAAAACCAACTCTAAAATCCATTCTATGAAATTCATAATTCAGCTTATCATTTTTCCTCATTTCCATCTTTCTATCAAAGAAACAGTCAGAAGACCCCTTAGGCAATGGAGAATTGTCCTAAAATTATACTTTTATCTTGAGATCAGAATGAAATTTGTTTTGATGCTTATTTAATTTATGCCTGCAATTAGCTTTAACAGAGATTGGCCTTCTCTATTCATAATTCATCAACCTGCAGAAAAGAGACTCAAGTTGAATGACAGATCCAGAGATTGTAAGAGCTCAAACCCAGAGAAATAAAACAGAGAATGAAGCAGGATCAGTGGAAACCAACACAATGCTAACGATTGTACGTGACAGCAACTCAGGAGAGCTTGGAATCAGGAAAACAGACCCAAACCCATCTATGAAAGATCAATGACACAACCTATAATTAGTGAATAATCGCCCACTATTACTGTTTGACGAAATGCCAAAACCAAAGTAACCGCAATGCAGAAACGACCCAGAAACTATTAGACTGATGAAAGCACAAACCTTGGTGCCCTGAGCCAGTTGGTCAAGCTCCTCCTCAGGGATAATCACCGGCCACTTCTCTCCAGCCTCACGGAACATTTGTTCGGTTTCAAGGAGCTGACCCTTCTCGAGAATCATGTTCCTTATCGTCTGAGCAGGAGTTGATGTGGCATCGAAAACTTCTTCCACTCCGTTGACAAAGGTCACGGTGATCTTCGGCGGTTCATCGTCGGTCCGGCGCTTCACCTGGACCTGACACGCTGGGTTTGATTCTTTGGCTTTGCGCGCGTTGCATTGGGCCAAAAACTCCATGCATGATGCTAGTCGAGGGTCCAGCGCATTGAACTCGAGCCGTACCTTCGATAGGAACTTCAACATTTTCCCTCTTTCTCCTGCAATTACAAAAATTGAAGAAAGATGACTCAAGGTAGGGTTTATTGTAAGGTTAAACTTCTTCACTATGGGAAATTAAGTCCTAATAGTTTTTTAGTTGTTGCAGAAGATCTAATTGCATAGGTCACCTGTGTCACTCAGATTTTGTTATCTGTACCGTATAGCATTATGGTTATAGGGTTTTTTTTAATATTTTTATTATCTTTAAAATTTTAATTTAAATTAATAAAAGTAAATACAAAATTAATTAAAAATGATAAATTTACATTAATAAGTTAGTATTTAAGAAAAAAAATATGTAAAATATTATCAAACAAAATTTTAATTATTTTTGTGTTTACAAACCTTAAGATAATTTGGACTTTTTTAAAAAATATTAATTTGGTATTTATTAATTTCAAAATTTCAATCAAAGGGTTTATTTTTCTTTGAACATGTTAACTCTAAAATACAAGATTTCTTCCTCACAGAGAATTTTGATAATGTCACATTAAAAAATAGAAATGAGATCTGCATAAACAAAGCAGTTATGGAGTTAATGTTCTAAAAAGAAACTACGAGAGCTCAATTAATAATCTGGAAAAGTTTCAGGGCTTATTTGAACTTTTCCCTTCGGTTTCGTAGTTGTCCCTTAACATGTCCAAGGGCTGTCTCTACCTTTTAATTTTCCCTCTTTTTTGACACTAGACAGTATACAGGACTGGTGAGGGAATCAAAGAAAGTACCGAGCTTGGGAGGGAGAGGGAGACTCGGCGACAGGTGAAGGTGACGGAAAGGAAGGAAGGGCAAATGCGATTGCAATGGAGGGTAATGGTAACAGTAACAATCTGTCTAGCTTGGTACGCGAACTTCGAGAACGCATAGCGGCATCATCATCGACGCCACCCAACAGCGGTGATGATGACGCTCTGGAGAACCGATTCCGTGCTGTTCTCCCCAATCTACTCCAAGCCTACGTTGTTCCTTCTTCAGGTGCTTCATCTTTCTCCTAAAAAACTAGTTTTCTCCACATTTTTGCTTGTTTACTTGGAAGACAGAGTTCAAGAAACTAAAAGAGTAAGATTTTAGCTGTTGTTTCTTATTTGGTGTTATAGAATTAAAGATTTCAGGATTCAAGATACTGGGTTTTGTTTCAATATGAAAAAAAGGGAGTGATGGAGGTTTGTGTAGAGTATGTAAATATGAAATTGTTCATTTTCTTGCAGCCAATGAGAGAGAAGTGATAGCTGTGTTGAGGCTCATCTCCCACATTTCAAAGAATTATCCGGGAGTTTTTTACCGTGGACGGGCAAGCTCTATTTTACCAGTTGTTGGTCGGATATTGCCTTTCTTTGCGGAACCCGCTTTCCGGTGTGTGTTTGCTGATTGATTTAGTTTCTTTTTTATTTTTTTTTAGTTGATTTTGACTCTTTGTTTTGTTGTCCTTTTGTATTTTCTTCAGCTTTCTGATGATTCTCGAGTAACATAGGATTCAAATTGCAAATTTCTTTCTGTAAATATAAATGTTGCTAGGTTTGGTCAGATGATATTTGTGTTCTCTTATTTGTAAATGGAGTAACAATGACCTTTCATATCTTTTGGATAAATGGTATTAAATTCAGAAAAGAACAAATGATCATGCTATTCTTGGTCCTTTGGTATTTTGAGATGCTCATAATGGATGAACTGAGCCAAAAGGGTGAAATAAAGGAGTTTTCCATTGTTATTTTAGTGGTTCTGCTTATCTACATTGGCTTTAGATAGGTTATGCAGGAGCAAATAAGACTGGCTACTAGAAATTTAATAATATTTCTTTTATTATGATCAGTTTCCACCTTCTGTGATCATGTGAAATGGTTGTGGTCCATATATATATATGTATGTTTTTATGTATAAAAGAAGCTTCTAGCAGCACATGCCATTCATAGCTATGCAAGCATCATTTTACGATGGCTTTTTTATTCACTTAATTTTGTCCTCCAACCATGTTTGTTTTGGATTTTATAATTTTTACCCTGATGGTATAATTGAAAGAACAATGCATCATATTTCAGCTCTCGACATGGAGTGATTTTTGACACTGTTGGATCCCTTTTGTCCTTACTTCGTAGTGGATCACAAGAGGCATTCCGTACATTTTTCATTGATGCCATGGTGGCCATTGAAGGTAAGGAGGAGAGAACTCTGTGATGATTTTATATTCTTATTAATATGGTTTTTCACATTTTCATTTGTGGTTTCCAGTTATTTAGTAGTTTAGATTATCTGTTTTTGTGGGGAGGTGTGGAATGTTGGTTTGTTTGGTGGACTGTATAGGCCAAAAACTTGTGCATTGAGAGCAGGAAAGAAAAGCCCTTCATTCACTAGGGTTTATTTTTTATGTTAATTTCATGTTAAAATATCTTTTGTAACTTTTTAAAAATAAATTCACAGAGCAAAACTGGTATTCCTTTTTATTTGTCCAGATGTTTTGTATATAGCATCAAGCTCTGCAGAAAGTTCAAGAATTACAGAATCCACTGTATTGACTTTAAAGTGTTTTCAAAAGTCCTTTTCTGGAATTTTGGATGATTCTGCTCGTCTGTGTGATCTGCCAGCAAGTAATAGACCTGCCAATGGCTCTGGTATGCTAGTCAATCTATCAGGCAAAAACAGGTGGCAATCTTTCTCGACTTGGGTGATCAAACTTCTTACTAAGTGCTTAACTGAAGGCACACTGTATGTTGAAGGTCTCATCAGTACATCATTTGTTTTTGCTGCTTGCTCCTTTTTATGTTACGGAGATGCGGATTTGCATATGGTGAGTTATTTTTTTTAATTGTATTTTTCATGGATGCAATTTGTTTGTTTGGGTTTATTTAGTTTAATTATAGTATTCCTAATATCCTTTTCTTACAGTGTCTGATAATTTAAATCTTTTGGAAGGCATGTTTTGACTTTGCAAGCATCATTGGATCAGCAATAACCTGCTGCATTGTTCCTCATGAGAATTTAATCCTGTCAATAGCCACCATATTAAGTGAATCTGAAGACAAAGGGCTTCCTGTATTCAGGTTTGTCTTCCGATGCATATGACTTTGTAGATAAGTGTATATAACTTATAACTATGGAAAAGCGTTAGAAACTGAGAAACCCCAAGGATGCTGGAGGTATAAAAAAATTAGGGTAATCAAAACTATGATTAAGAAATTAACATATGATGCTCAGAACTTATGCTGTTAAAATTCTGTGCTCCTTCATGCAGTATTGTAAAAAGTTATAGTTCTAATATTGGTTGCTAACTAAATTGAAAAAAAAAGAAAAGAAAAGAAAAATACATATCCATGAATTATTCATAGAAAGAAAGCACATTTCTGCCTCTTGTCATGCAAAAGTGAGATTTTAGAGGCCAAGAGTATGTTTTAGGCTATCCGATTAGCCTTGAGGTCAGGCATTGTGTGACTGCATGTGCTTGAATCTGATATGTTTCTTATTCTTCTGGTTTCAGGAGTATTTAAGTTCTTTTTGAAATATGGTGCAAGAATTATTCAGTATAGTAATGCAATTTTAGTACTGTGCCATCATTTTCCTCTTCTTTTTTTCTCCTCTCTCATGGTTGGTGGTGGCTATCCTTTTGTCTAGATGAGAACCTGTAACAAAGTCTTCAAATAGCTTTTTTATCCTTATTTCTTTCATGCTTGATTTTCAGGAATATGGCTTATGATTCCTCCATGGGTGGTTGCCTTGCAATACTGTACACTAGCTGTTCTGATGATGTTGTTAGGCTAACAGCTAAACATTTAGTTGATGCTTTTCATCGGTCAATTTGGAGAACCAAAAGCATGAAGCTTAAGGTTAATTTGCCCTCCCTCCCAACTACCTCTTTCTATTTAGGCATGCTTAATTGATTGCATTCGGTGTGTACTTTTGTCTGCTATGTAACTTAAGACCATATTCATTTGCAGGCTGCACTGTGCAGTGCATACATACGAATTGTAAAAATGTGCCCTCCTCACATCTGGAATCCAGAATCTCTCATACACACACTTAGTTGTCCTGAGCCTTGCATTTCATTGATTGATTGCTTTCGAGTAGCTCTTTGCATTCTTGGTCCTGATCGTTTTGATGGAGGGACAACAGCTCATAATGTTTTGGACTTATCAACATTGGGTGATAAATCAATTGAAATCTTGAAGGTTGGAGAAAAAAGGCATAATCATGATATAGATACTTTCAGTAACAAACGCCAAAAGGTAGATGGACAAATTTTAGTTTCTAATGCGAATGGTCCAGGGGTAACTCATTTTGTTACTTATGAAAGAGAAGAAGGATATGCAGACTCTATGTATAAATCACTTCTTTCATTTGTTGAGCTTCTGAATCCTATTACCAAACCTAATTCATTAAGACCAGATGTTGCGCTTACCGCTCTTAGCATGCTTTGCATTGCCTTCTGTAGATATCCACAGATCCATATGTCACAGTTCATCTTTAAGCAGATGGTCTCATGGATTCCCTGGATATGTGAGCAGGTATATATGAATATTTAGATTTTCTTGTTCAAGTGCATATTTCTTGGATTTCTGATCATTAATTTATAGTTATATCACATAGGCAAAGGCAGGAAGTTCAATTGCTCTTGATATTTCCATCTATCTGGAAGGAATTCATAGCATATTGGTTATAGAAGGTAAGTTAGTCTATCCTTTGTTGGAAGTTTCACCAAACCTTCATCTGGTACTTGGAATGTATTACCTGGGTCTCAATTCTTCATTTATATATATATATATATATATATATGAGTTAGGATCCACTTACACACAAGTTTCTCATCACACACTTACACAAAATCTTGGCTGTTCATCTTTTTACTGTCAATGGTTGAGATTTATTCACTTTTTATCAT